TGTGCGCTTTACCATATGCATATTATTATGCAATACAATTGTTTTTAATTTTAGAAAAAGGCCACCAGTGCTTTCCATTAATGAAACCAATTAGAAGCCAAAGGGCAAGGCGCTGCTAGTGCAATCCCAAGGGCCAGCATCCCAGAGCCCAAGGCTGGGCAAAGAAAAGCAGAGAATGGGTTGGGGGTGGGGGCGGGGAATAACTCGTGTGATGCTAAGTAAATGTTTGCTGAGTGGGATAGCAATCATTTACACCTTAGCATAAATAAATATATGGTGTGTGTGTGTGTGTGTGTGTGTGTGTGTGTGTGTGTTTCCAACAGTGAGTTTACTGGGAAGCAACATGGAAATAAGAGAACACTGGGCACTTTGGCTATGAGAAATAGTGGAGCAAACTGAACGAAATTCTTTGCCTTCCTGAAAGTTCTTCAGAAGATGCCCTGCTTATGTGGTCAATAGTCTTAGAGTTAGCCCTTTCCCAGGGCTCAATTTCCTTATCAATCCCATAATAAGACCTTAACACTTTTTAGTGATTGACAGCTGACAATGTATTTCAAAAGTTTATCTCATTTAATCCACATTGCAACCCACTGAGAGTTGGTAAGGAATACAGATGGTCAGGGATTATTAGAAATAAAGAAAGTGAAGCTCATAACAAGAAAAGAAATGCCGAGAAAACTTGCCCACAATCACAGAATCTGAAGGTTGCAAGGCCAGGGTTCTGACCCCGTGTTCATTGTTTTATCCACGTTGTTATTAAAAAAAAAAAAAAAAAAAAAAAAACACAGAAATCGGGTTAGATGCCTGCCCAAGTTTCTCTGAGCTTTAAGCATCTATGTTCTCCATAATATAGTCCAGATAAATGAGAAGCAGCTTCTGTATCAGGTATTGACCCTTGGCTGGGAGCTGAACTCCAACTGTCCATCACCTGCATCGCAGTGGCCTTGGTCACCCACACTGATAGAGCACTCTGGCCCAGGCACTGGGCTGGGCCAGGCTTTCCCTTATAGGACTCAATTCTCTCCCAGCCTGAGGAGAGAGAGAGCCCTGCGCCTTTTTACCGGTGAGGATCTACAGCCTGAGAGATGTTAGGTGACCTGCCCGTGGTCACGTTGGAATGAGGTAAGGCCAAGCTAGGAAGCTGTGCTCCAGAACAGGCACTCGACCAGGACTCTGAGAGGAGGGGGGATGCCCCACCTTGGAGAAGAAGCGAGACCAGGCTGCAGGGAACCCCATAGGCAGCTGCAGGGAACCAGGGAGGTCAGACTCTGGAAGTCGCCCTGAGGAGAACTGCACACAGACTCTATAGGGACTCTCGACAAACAGTGGTTAAAGTCAGCACAAAACATGGGATTTCTGATCTTAGTTGCACTGGAACATAGTAGTTGCTCAATAAAGATGCGTTAAATGGTGTTGAATGAGAAAGGAGCTTAATTGTGTCAGAGCTGGTGGCTGGAAATGTGCTGGAAAGGCACCAGCCGGCACCTGCAACCTGTCACTCACTTTCTTCTCTGCCAGCTCCTGAGCTTGGCTGCCACATGCTTATGAGCACAACATGCCTCTGCCCTCCTCTCCCTCTCTACACACCCCCACACTCATATGGCTCAGGTTCCCACTTGGGAGCAATGGTAGCCGGCCGGCCTTGGCTGCCAGCCGGGACCTCTCCCTGAGTTCCATCTGAATGTGGGCCACAGGCTGTGGGTCCACCCCACATCTCTGCCCAGTATGGTCCGCGGGCCTATAGGCTATAGCATAATCTCAATCTCTGCCACAGCCTTGCTCCCCCTCCTGTGTTTCTCCTCCCAGTAAGGGCATCACTGCCTCTCCAGTCATCCAATCTAAAAATATCGGAGTCTCTCCAGCTGCTTTCCTTTTTGTTCATCATCAGGTCCTGTGAAATGTTCCCTGGCAGCCCCTGCCCCCACCCCCAGAGCCAATGTCAGTGGTCTCACCCCTGACATATGTCACATGGATCACTGACATGGCCCCAGTCTGGCTCCTGAGCCACCCCAGAGTGGTCTTCTCAAATCTATGTCTGAACAGGTCACCCAGCCACCTCTGCTGGTTCCCCACTCAGGGCGACGGTCACTGTGCGTTCGGAGATGTGCAAATTCACTCTGGCATGGCTGCCCTGAGCGTTCTCTTCTAGAACCCCCCACCCACCCACCCAGAAGCCCAGACATGCCAAGTAAGGCAGAATAGTCACAATAGCCCTCCGTGCCCCACTTGCTCTGTCACCCTTCAAGCCTCAGCTCCAGTGTTCCTTTCTGGACACCCTTCAGGAAGAATTCATCCGTTTATTCCCTTTGCAATTTGCATTCACACATTACTGCTAACATAGTCCCTCATCCATTCATCAAATATTAACAAGTCCACACTAAGTGCCTTTGGATCCAGATGCCTCTCTAGACCCTAGAAATATGATTGGTTATTGGTGTGTCAAGACCTCCTGTGACCTTGACCTTCACTGTTCCAGAACAGGTCTAATACACTTGTATCTTGGGCACGGCAAAGTGCCTTAAATATAAGGTGTCATTCAACTGGGATGGTCAGGAGCTTGACTATAGACTGAGTATTAGGTGCTCTTAAGAGATCATTTTTATTTTGTTAGGAGTGCTAATGTCACTGTGGTATGTGTGAGAAGGTCCTTGCTTCTTCAGAGACACAAGCTGAAGAATGTTATGTGAAGGGGTTCAATAATAATACAGATAAATAACAAGCAAATGTATCAAAACGTTACCAGTGGCTGCATCCAGGCACTGGGGTGCTCATGTAGTGTTCTGTCTATATGTCCTTATATTCGAAAGTTTTCAAAATAAAAAGCTTTCTAAAAGGTGAATTGAGGGGCACCTGGGTGGCTCAGTCAGTTAAGCATCTGACTCTTGGTTTCGGCTCAGGTCATTATCTCACAGTTTGTGAGACCAAGCCCCATGTTGGGCTCTGCGCTGACAGTGTGGAGCCTGCTTGGGATTCTCTCTCCCCCTCTCTCTGCCCCTCCCCAGCTCTCTCTTTCTGTCTCTCAAAGTAAATAAATTAATTTTTCTTAAAAAAAGAAAAAAGGTGAATTGAGTTGACTTGCCTGGACCCCCTTTCTCATCTGTCAGACCAGGGGTGTGTTTTATCCCACGTGGGCCACTATAACAACATACCACAGAATGGATGGCTTATAAACAACAGAAATGTATTGCTCACAGTTCTGGACGCTGCAAGTCTGAGCTCAGGGTGCCCGCCTGGCTGCATTCTGGCAAAAGCTCTCCTCCTGCTTCCTGCTGTGTCCTCTCCCTGCAGAAGGACCTAGGGATCTCTCTGGAGCCTCTTTCAGAAGGCACAAATCCCATTCCTGAGGGCTTCACCCTCATAGCTGAAGTACCCCCCCAAAGTCCCACCTTCTAATACTATCACATTGGGTATTAGGACTTCAATATATGAATTTGGGGATGGGACAAAGACATTCAGGCCACAGCAGAGTATCTGTGGAAGGAGCCACTAATGATCGGTCTTTTTTTTTTTTTAATTTTTTTTTTCTTAACGTTTTTATTTATTTTTGAGACAGAGAGAGACAGAGCATGAACGGGGGGAAGGTCAGAGAGAGAGGGAGATGCAGAATCTGAAACAGGCTCCAGGCTCTGAGCTGTCAGCACAGAGCCCAACGTGGGGCTCGAACTCAAGGACCGCAAGATCATGACCTGAGCCAAAGTCTGACACTTAACCGACTGAGCCACCTAGGCGCCCCTAATGATCAGCCTTAAGACCATGTCCAGCCCCAGTGGCACTGAGCTGAAAACACAGCTCTGTGGCCTGGGCCTGGAGAGTTCCCAGAAGGCCCTGTGGAGTCTGGGACTCTGGAAGGAAATTGTTTTTGGCTTCAACACACCTTCAGGCAAGTCAAATGAGGTATGTTGATCCCCATGCCCCTAAAGGGGAAGAAATGTGTGTTTGTTTCTGTGAGCTAAATTGAAGGATGCAGACAGAAGGAGCCATGTGTTAGGCAATGTGTTAAAACCAAGGCGAGTCAGGTGATGGGAGGCACAGGTCAGGCTACCACTCACAACAGGGCAGTCAGCAGTTACTAACAATTTCTGGAACCAGTCACTTGACCATGTGCAGGACAGTATGTACTAGGAACCCTATATCCCAGAAAGTTTCCGCCTTTGAAGGGGCTGGAATTGAGGGACTGTTTCACTCCTTAACCTGCTCGTGAGACTTCTTTGATTTTGCAGGTAGAGCTCCGTGGAATTCCTGACACGCCCCCCTGCCCTCTTCTGAGGTCCCAAACAAGCCGACTTGCATCTTCTGGTACGATTATCTGCGCAAGCAGGAGGCCGACAAAATCTCCCTCAGCCCTGGCTTGGTTTTTCTGTTGCCTCCCTTACTCTGAGAGTCTCTTCCCTAGAGCTAAAAGATTGTTAACCAAGTCCAACGGTCCGTTTACTCCTGCATTCTAAACACCCTTCTTACTGCCCCCAAATGCCCATCAGAACAGCCGCGGAGCACCTAACAGGAAGGGAGCCAATCCCCCGGCCCCACTTCCCGAGAATCTAAAGGGCGCTGTGTCCAGGTGTCTGCGGCCACTTCCTCGCCTTGCCATCCGGCTTGCTGAGCTTGGAGCGGGACGTCGGTAGGGGGCTGCAGCCGGGGCGCCCAACCCAGTGCGGCCCTGGGGGTAACTCATCCTGCACCTCATTCCACCGCCACCCCCGCCCCTCCGCCCGTGGCCCCCATGGGTTTGAAAGCAACACATCTGCCTTTTCACAGCCACAGCCACGCCGCCCAGGCTGCCTCACCTCTCAGAATGTGCAAGGCGAACAGGCTAACAACGACCTTTAGGGGACGCGCGGAGCAGCTGGTGGGTGGAGAGTCGTGGGGACCGTCCTCTCGCAGCGGTCTGCGAGAACCGCTTCCCCTCCAGGGGCCCGGAACTGGCACGGACCCGGGCGCTCTCCCGCGGGGCGGGCCGGCCGGGGCGGGGCTGGTGGCGGCGCTTTAAGAGGAGGGCGCGGGCGGCGGAGGCCGAGCCTGGGAGGGGGACCTTAGCGATGGAGACCGCCCGGGACTACGCCGGAGCCCTCATCAGGCGAGTGCAGCGCCAGCCAGGCTCTGGGCCACGCCTGCGCCCCGCGGCCCTGCGCCACCCATCCCCCTGAGCCCCCGCCCCCTGCGCTCTGAACGGTCTGCATCCCCCTGTGCCTGGCACCCCAGTGAGTCCCTCATTTCCCTGCGTCTCTCGTCCCCCGTGCGCCCGGTACTCCCCAGCACCTCTTGCGCCCAGCAACCCGGAGCGCCCCGAGGCCCCAGTCCCAGCCCACACGCCCAGCGGCTGCGCGGGGGTGCAGAGTCCGAGCCGGCCGCGCTTCTCCTCCCCCTCCTCCAGCTGGCCGCAAGTGCCAGGTGTGGCGCTCCCGAGGTGCGCGGGCATCGACGGAACAGGTGACAGTGGTGAGTGCGGGAGTGGCTGAATTTCTTGATGCTGCTGCAGCCGCCGGGGCAACCGAGGGCCCGGTCCTGGGAAACGCGGGCAACGCCTCCACGGTGCTCCCGCGCAGGGCTTCACGGGGACCTCGGGGTCGCGACGGGAGCTGGGGCGCTGCTGGTGAAGATGCTCGGCGGCTTTGGGATGGGCCTAAGGGCGAGCGCGGGCTCTGGGCTCCAAGGGGAGGGTGGGCTGAGCAGAGAGCGCCCCTCGGGCTCTGAACGCTCCCAGACCCCTGCTTGATGAGCCCACCCAGGCTTGTAACGGATGTATGGGGGGAAGCGCTCCCCCTCCTCGCCGCATCTGAGAGCGCCGACACTGCCCAGGGAGGGACCAGGTGCCTTCCGAGGCTTCTTAGTCTTCGCTCCCTTCCCGGGTCTCGCCACCCGCTGGGGGGCTGATGGCACCGCAACACTTCCCCGCCCCCCCCCCCCCCACCCAGCTGTCATTCATCCTCATATCTTGACGTATCCAAACCCGTCCTTGCTGATAAAATCCTACAAATATTGCATGGAAGTAATTCTCAAGTATAGACTTATGGAAGGGATAGTGCTTCTCTAAAGATCTTCAAAGTACTTCAAAAAGGATAGAGAAGCCCTTTGAGTTCTTTAAAATGCGGGTTTCAGAGGTGATCCCATCTGTACCAAAGAGCAGAGCGACAGGGTGGGTTGAAGGGGCAAGGTGGGGAGGGAGAATCACTTTACAAACTAGTGCGATCTATGGAGCTGAACTTGCCGTGCGCAACCCTCAAGGTTAGAAAAAGAGCTAAAGAGCTTCCAGGGACGCCTGGGTGGCTCGGTCGGATAAGCGTCCGACTTCGGCTCAGGTCATGATCTCGCGGTCTGTGAGTTCGAGCCCCGCGTCGGGCTCTGTACTGACAGCTCAGAGCCTGGAGCCTGCTTCCGATTCTGTGTCTCCCTCTCTCTGACCCACCCCCGTTCATGCTCTGTCTCTCTCTGTCTCAAAAATAAATAAACGTAGAAAGAAAGGAAGGAAGAAAGAAAGCTTCCAAAATGTAAAGGCGGTCTGTCTGAACAGCACTGGGCTTTCACTTTAAAAAACAAAAACAATGACGTCAAGTAGTAAGGAACCAGGGAAGGTGGGAAACAGACTTGTTTCCTGCATCTTCCCTAACTCATGTCAGCATGAAGGTGAGCCCTGGGTTTCCTTGTTGTTCTCCACCCCCCCCGCCCCCGCCCCCCACAATCCCACTCCCAGGGGGTAACAATTATTAGTTTAGAATCAGTCCTCTGCACTTCTCCCCCTCAAATATGCAAATATACCCACTCAGCCACTTCTGTGAACCCTGAGGAGGTGGCAGGCTGATTTAAGGACTGCTAAGAAGGCACCCTTGATTCCTGGCTGGTATTGCCTGGAGGAGGAGGAGGCAGAGCCTTCAGAATTAAGTCTGACCCTGCCCTTCCACCTGATCCCTATAACAGGATACCGAAATCCAAAGTGCATCTGTGTAAGGTTTCCACTGGGTCAAGTGTGTATGAAAGTGACTTGCTTGTGAAATGTGGGCAAGTCAAAACGTAAGGAAATGTCTACTCAAAGACACCCTCCTTCTGAGCTCGGCAAACTCTAAACGTGAGTGACTATTTGTCAGGGACGCACAGTGCAGTTCTTTCAAGAATCTACCTGCTTCCAAACGAAACTGGAAGAAAAAGGATCCATATTACTTGTTGAAAGGAAAACCCTGTCCTTCCCTGCCCTTCTTTAGAACCACGTCAAGGCTGAAGACCCACGTGAGCCACCGACAGGGTAAAGGCCATGTTTGTTAGTTACAGTCTTGCTGGACTTCTGCCTCCTCTGTGTTCCTTAATTTAAACTAGCTGGCCTTAACTCTTTTATTAGTGGAGGATTGCATTTTGCCAAAGAAAAAACTTCATCCACATATACATTGTGTTTTAAGGTCAGCAATCCTAAAGTCTTAAACTAGTCATTAGTTTGTTAATCGTCTGTGATCCCTCGAGGCCTTAGGGCAAAAGCTGCCTGAGGTCCCTCAGCACAGCTCCAGACGTCAAGGATGTCCATACCAGTGTGTGTTGTCATACGCAAAGCCACTCAGCCATTGTGTCTGTCCATGCTAACGTTCATGCCGACCTTGAAGTTGTTACAGAGCTGATATGTATTATACTGTGTGCAAAATTGCTGTTTTTGTTGCCATTTGGTAGGTACATCTTTTCTTTCCTTGAACCAGGAACTCTAGGTTTTGTATAGCTGGCATTTCAGTACACATTTTACCACTGTCTTTTTGTTATAAGCGAGGAACTGCATTTTCTACAAGTAAATCTCCCAGGTTACTGATGCTTATCCCTTCCTGGGTCTAAACTGTTATTTTAATAACATTTCCAAGTGTTCAAAGACTTCATGGTCATATACTGAAATCAAGCATTTCTCTAGGCTGATCAAGGCACAGATGTGAGCCAGCCGCCGTCGCTGTGGGGCAGACATCCCAATGTGTGTAGCCCGTAACATGGCTCCCGCACTGCTGGGGAAGGAGGAGGCATCACTGAGGCTGACGCTTCTCCAGCTTCTGCCAGTGGGTTAGACCCTGCACCGTCCTGACCTCTCACTGAGACCCAGCCAGGCCGGATGGGTCCCGTCTATTTTCAGTCCTGTCTGTTTTCAGTCCCGTCTGTTTCTCTGCATTGTTGTATTTGACATCACCACTTCCCTTCTTAAGGTGCTCCTTGTCCCTAGGCTTTGGTAGTAGTGGGTGGTTGGCTTGTCGTACCTGCTTGTGCGCGTTCTCTCACGTGGGTTCCTCCTTTCTACCTAACAAGGAAATGAAGGGCCCTTCTCTCTGAATGTTCCCCGGGGGCAGTACCTTACAGGGCCTCACGGAGCCACCTCATCGCTGCTGACCCCAAAGTATTTCTCTCTGGGGGAGGCTTTGTTCCCAGGTCTGCCCTTTTCCTTCTTATTCCACTTCTGGAATAAACATCGGTCCATACAGTGGCATAAAAACATGCTTGTTTATGACTCATGGAGGCTAGCTTCCTTTTACTGGAGTGAAGTTCACCTCTGCCGTCAGTCTGTGGCCTGGCTACACTTTGCTAAGTCGAGACTTCTCAGTTCACTTGGGGAAAAATACAAAGGCTTCTCTGTTTCCCTCACTTCTGGGAGATATGCCTCTTCACAGTTTTTAAGAATATTCTATGAAGCCTGACTACTCTTTTTGTCTCAGTTCCCCCGAAACAATCTGTTTCCTTGAACAACCTGTTTCCTGGTTTTTCTTTTCCTTTTAGTGAGCTATTTCCTTCCTGCTTATATGGTTGTCTGCACTTTCCCAGGATGGGAGGGTGACCAGTGTGTGCTGTCTAAGGCTTCTCCAAGCTCCTGTCTCAACTTTGATATATTAAAATATTGAGGGGAGAAGAGCAAGACATTTTAGATCTTGCACTAATAGCCAGTGACATAAAATATCCTATTAAGGGGACCAGGAGTGGGTTGGATCAATACCTTGCTTTCTTCATTTAGCTAGCTAGTTGTTTTGCTGCTCCTTTAGCTGGAGCAAAGTAAATATTCCTGGGGGCGCCTGGGTGGCTCAGTCGTTAAGCGTCTGACCTCGGCTCAGGTCATGAGCTCGCGGTTTGTGAGTTCGAGCCCCGCGTCAGGCTCTGTGCTGCCAGCTCGGACCCTGGAGCCTGCTTCAGATTCTGTGTCTCCTCTCTCTCTGTCCCTCCCCTGTCATGCTCTGTCTCTCAAAAATAAATAAATATTAAAAAAAAAAGTAAATACTCCTATAATAGTTGTTAAATAGGTTTCATGTACATAAAATTTCATTTAACTCCTTTTTATATTATCTATAAGATAGCCTGGATCTTGTACAATTTGACACGTCAGATCACTCATCCTCTTCCTAGAATGGCAGGATTTAATTTTCTTGTCTTCAAGGATTTTTTTTTTAGGTGTGCTCCGTAAGCCTTTTCTCCAACAATGACCCAGTGCCCGGTTAAGGAAACATAATGGGTAAGAAGAACAATATGGTGCGTATCTTTTTTTATTGAGGATGGCTGTCCTGAGGGCAGCGTGGGGAGAGGACCAGAAATGACTGCCAGCACTTGTCTAGTCCAGAAGTTAAAGACAATAAGGACTTTGTATAATCAACTGTAGTATGTAACTGGAACACTGGTGCTTACTGAGGCGTGATCGTTCGCATCCAATGAGGAGGTACAGGACCACAACTAACTAGGTCAAAGCTGTTCATGCCCACAAGGTGTGTCATTGGCCTCTAGCACCTGGACCTAAGATTCCAGCACATGAACTTTGTTCTCCCATTTCTCAGATTTTTCTCCTAGCCTGTCTTGTACTCAGTGAATGGATCGCGTGCCAATGGCAGGCTAGGTGCTGTGGGGAAGTAAAAAATGTACAGACAGACCCTGGCCTCAGTGAGTACAGATTCTAGAAGGGCTCGAGGACAACGGCAAGGAGTTCTTGCTTTGCAGGGGGAAGAGAGGCTCATGCTGGTGAGGGTCCGGGGTTCCTCTGCATCATAGGAGGCTTTTCACCTTGTAGGGCAGGCACTGTGGCGCAAAAGTGGGAGCTGGGTTCAAACCCCCGTTCTAGCTCTTGCTAACTCTGACCTTATTCATTTCTTAACTTCCCGAGCCTCACTTTTATTCATCTGACGTGCCTGTCTTGTCAAGGTATTAGGTAATGCACTAATGCGCACGGGTCTGGCATAGAATAGAACTAGTCTCTCTCTCCTCCTCATACAGACTTCACCGTCGAGTTTAAGTTTCAGGTGCCATGATTAGGTTGCCAACAAAGCCAATTCTCAGTGTAAAGCATCTGAGGTAAAATCCTCATTGCCCCATCTACCAGATCACCAGAGACAGGACTGTGAGCAGGGGGCTCTGTGGCACCAGCTCAGCAGAACGTGGGCATCTTGTCCGTCAGGTTGTGTAACCGAGGAACCTGGTGTAACTCCTTGTCATCAGGGCAAAAGTTCAGAGGCTGTGTGCCAGCCCCACCGCTGTGTCAGTTCAAGGCTTGGATTCATCTGGTGGCTCTCTGATCAATCTAATGGGGAGCCTGCATCAGAGGCCAGTGACCTGCCACGATCCCCTTGCCGTTGCCTCACTAGGAACAAATAACGCAGTGACTCTGGCGGCCTAGAAGGGAAAGGAGCTGTCAGTATTCACCGAGACCACTGTGGTCCTTTCAACCAGAGCAGCCCCAGACTGATGATTAAGTGATGTTTATTGCTTGAGGTTAGAAGTCCAGAGATAATTATGTCCTACTTCGTTTCCTTGTTAATTGAGTGACCTTGAGAAACCACTCTGAGCCTCGGTTTTTCCCATCTGGGAAATGGGGTAATACTTTCCTTGTAAAGTTGTGATGATAATTAGTTAGTATGTATAAAAAGTTAGCATAAGCTGGCCATAGCAAGTGCTTGGATGCAAGCAGTTAGGAAGCACTAATATGATGCTAGCTGAATACACTTCAGACCAAACCTGTGCTAACAATCTGGGTCTGATTCCTAGAAAGCCCCCCCCCCTTTTTTTTTTTGCCAAGGATAATATGTAGATACTCACTGAAACTGGCTGGTCATGCTATGAGCATGAACTTAACCTGATGGTTTTTGAGAGCCGGTTCATTACTACACTATCAGTTTCTCATATAGAAAATTACTTGCTAGATCATTGAATTTTCACTTATGTCCATTTGTAGAACTTCAAGTTAGACCACATACTATTGAAAACTTATTTGCCTAGCACTAATCTAGGCATTATGGGAGATACAACAAAGAAGCTTTTTCCCTGAAGGAAATTCCAATCTAGTTGGGAAAATAAAGCTTAGATAAATAAATGGCAATATGTATGTGTGGATGTGTGTGACTGTATGTGTGTAGGTATATGTGTTTGGATATGTATAAAATAAAGTGCTAAGTCCTAGGTGATAGTATAAAAGCCCCTACAATTTTAGCCTTCATGGGGTTAATCTAGACGGTCCATTTTATGTGTCAGAAATCAGTGATGTCCTCACTTTGTATCTTCTGTAAGATTGTCCTAAAAATAAGGCCCTTCATTTCATTCTTCTGAATCTCACTCTACAAGTATTTGTCCAGATCGTCAACAACGACTTGAGTGCCTGCAGTAGGTAGGATACTGTTTAGGTGTGAGGCCAGTGCAGCTGTAGGCTCTCATCCCTCGGGGCCTGGGGGAGATTAAGTGAGGTCATGTGTCACTTCTCACAGCACCTGACATGAAGCGAGAGCCACGTGAACTATTGATAACTTATGTTGATATTCTTTCCAATAATTTCTTTGTGGGTATACCCCTAAATTTAAAAAGCCCACCGTCCTGGGTGAAAACTATGCATTTCTAGACTGTTCTCCACAGAAACTGAACCAGCTCCTAGTGCCACCAGCAAGGCACATCTGTTGCCCCTTATGGAGTTACTTTTAAATCACTTCTTGCATGTGTGTTTGAAAGCATGCACTGGTGTGTCAAAGGTGGTTTTGCATTCCTTTGCCATCAAAAGCTTCATATGCTCCATGGGGCGCCTGGGTGGCTCAGTCAGTTACGTGTCCGACTTCGGCTCAGGTCATGATCTCGCAGTTGGTGGGTTCGAGCCCTGTGTCAGGCTCTGTGCTGACAGCTTGCTCAGAGCTTGGAGGCTGCTCCAGATTCTATCTCCCTTTCTCTCTGTCCCTCCCCCGCTCACACTCTTTTTCAAAAATCAATAAACATTTAAAAAATAATTTAAAAAATGAAATCTTAAAAAAGTGTTAAATAACTACTAAAGCAGTAAGCTTCTCATTTATCCCCCATTTTATATATATACATAAATGTATAATAAATATTTACATACATATTATATACATGTATATTATATATGTATATATAATATACATATATGTATATATACATGTACATATACATATACATATATGTATATATAATATGTATGTATGTATAATTTGACAACCAAAGGTTGGAGGTTTTCTCCCTCAGAAAATTGTCTTGATTTGGTTTTGTTCGTTATTTTCCCTCTCTGTGTCAGTTTATTTTATTTTTTAATAATTTTTTTATGTTTATTTTTGACAGAGACAGAGCACAAATGAGGGAGGGGCAGAGAGAGAGGGAGACACAGAATCGGAAGCAGGCTCCAGGCTCTGAGCTGTCAGCACGGAGCCTGACGCAGGGCTCTAACTCATGAACTGTGAGATCATGACCTGAGCCGAAGTTGGATGCTCAACCAACTGAGCCACCCAAGAGCCCCTGTGTTAGTTTTTTTTAATAGTGAAACTTTGAATTAATCCTTTGTTAAATGTGGAATTTACTCCAAAGTGTCATGTGACATATGGCCCAAAGTTCCTTTCCTTCTCATTATTCCAACAACAATTATTATAGTGTTCTGTTGTTCCTCATCTTTTCTAAGTTAATTTCTAAATGTTAGTTTATTGCTCTAGTGACCACTATATGGATTTTCGATTCCTGGCTTAGTTTTACAATATGTAACTTTTGTGTGTGTACCTAATTCTTTAACTCTACTTGGCTAATTCATAACCTCTTAAGACTTTTCAGCAATAGGGGTACCTGAGTGGCTCAGTCGGTTAAACGTCTGACTTCAGCTCAGGTCATGATCTCACAGTTTGTGAGTTTGAGCCCCAAGTCAGGCTCTGTGCTGACAGCTCAGAGCCTGGAGCCTGCTTCCGATTCTGTGTCTCCCTCTCTCTCTGCCCCTCCCCTGCTTGTGCTCTGTCGCTCTCTCTCAAAAATAAACGTTAGGCAAAAAAAAAAAAAAAGACTTTTCAGCTATAAAACTCATGTTTGCAAAATCGAATTCTTATTTCTTTTTTGAGTTTGATGCTCTTACCACTTCTTTCTCACATATTTACTACAAGGACTTTGAATATTCTAGTAAAATAGGCATAATGATGGCTGTGGTTTTTAATTGTTTGTGTTATTTGTTTCTTGGATATCAGGATTTTCAATGATCCCCAACTACTGATTTTCTTTCTTTCAGATGCAAATATGAAAACTGTTTTAATTTGTATACTTCAAACCTCTCTTTGAAGATTCCTTTTTTGAAGATAAGTCAAAGATATTTTTTACTTTTCTCTTCCATTTCCAGGCCCCTGACATTTATGGGATCACAGACCAAGAAAGTCCTGCTAACCCCCCTCATGCACTCGGCTCGCCCTTTCCGGGTCTCCAACCATGACAGAAGCAGCCGGCGAGGGGTGATGGCCAACAGTCTGAAGGAGCTTCTTAGCAAGGTGCCAGGAACCCCGGGGCTTTCCCATCCCTTACAGGAGGGCCCCTGACTGCGTGCAGGGCTATGGGCTTAGATAGTAAACCAGGGCAGAGACAGAAATGCCACTGTCATGGCCTTGGAGAGTCTGAGGGGAGAAGAAAAGAATGAAAGGGAACATTATTACATCTCTGTACCATAAAAGATTTAGCTACAGACACAAAAGCCTTAAAAACAGTCATCAATTGATAATACAGCCTTTCTTCTTTGACAAGGGAGAATACAGGGAAACAGCAGCCTTTGGAAATCTGTTTTTGGTTATAAAGCCCAGAGAAAAATAGTCCTTAATCTAAAACAGTGTCCTAGATCACCAAATAAGGAAGAATCACAGACTCTCTGGAGTCTGTGGAGTCAGGTTATGGAAGCATAACCCACACAGAGACACCTATGGAAAGAAGAAATGAACATCCAACATGCAGACCCTGAAGCAAGAGAGGGTCAGATGCGTGATGTGAGCCTAAGGCTCTTTAAATATCATTCTGTTGCATTCTTCATTTTATTTGGCAAAATAAGTGAGTAATTATAGAAACTCTAAATTTGATTCGGTGTCTTCATTAATCTCATGTCCTTGAGATCTCTGAAGAAGATTGGTCCATTAAAAATCTTCTCTTTTTCCAAGCCAAGACTGAGTCCGAGATGCCAATGAAGGTAGATCTTTATCTTTAAAGTTTTAGCAAAATCAGATCACTTCTGAATCTATAACTTAGTCAATGGCTTTGAGTGGTCAAAATGGAATCTCTTCCTTTATTCCATGTCTCTGATGTGTTGTCAATCTAGACCCTGGATGCCTTAGTTATCACCAGCGGACTGGTCACTTTGGTGCTGGAGGAAGACGGAACCGTGGTGGATACGGAAGAGTTCTTTCAGACCTTAGGAGACAACACACATTTCATGATCTTGGAGAAAGGGCAGAGGTGGACACCGGTAAGCAAAAACACTTGTCCAAACGGCGACCGGGCAGACTTTTTTACCCACAAAAGTGCATTCCCTACTTTGGTGTTGACTTGTCCTCTTTCTGAATATGAACTTCATATTCACCTAATAATTGGATCTGCTACCCTCAACAGGATTCTTAAATGTGTTTCTAGGGAACTTAGCATCTTAGTGAACCTGGGCTATAGGATTTAAAGCAAGCAGTTCTGGGAAACAGGTTTAGGCCAGTAAGTAGCTATGGGTCCTTTTAAAGCACACAGATTGACCTGGTGACCATTCACTGTCTCTGTCCTCAGGAGGCCAGCAAGCTAACACAGCCAGTGAAATTAGGTGTGTGTGTGTGTGTGTGTGTGTGTGTGTGTGTGTGTGAATGTACAGTGATTTAGAAAGGTAAACAGAGGGGTGCCTGGCTGGCTCAGTCAGTAGAGCATGCAGCTCAGGTCATGATCTCTTTGTTCGTGGGATTGAGCCCCACATTGGGCTCTGCGCTGCCAGTGTGGACCCTGCTTTGGGGTTCTCTCTCTCCCTCCCTGCTTGTACTCTCTCTCAATAAATAAATAAATAAACATTAAAAATAAATAAAATAAAATAAAATAAAATAAAATAAAATAAAATAAAAAACAAACCAAAAAAGAAGAAAGGTAAAGAGATGGAATAAGACTTCTATGTCCAGGAAAACTACAGATTATATACATATCTTAGAAAACCTTCCCACTATAAAACACCTAAAAAAGTAAAGCAAAATTTTAACACGTATTTTATATGCCTAACTGACCTTCCAGAAAGGAAAATCTTCAGAGTCCAAAACTTTTATGGGAGCCAGAATCTAGAGAAGTGATGTCTTACCCCTGAGCACCTCACTCATGGCCATCCACTGACTTCAGTGACTTTGGGCTGCAGTTTTGACAGGTGCTGGCAGGACAGGAGACAAAGTCTTGGGCTGACACAAGGTAAGGGGCCAGATTTTAGATGCCCACATAAAGCAGAAGAATCTTAAAGGTCTCTCCCAAGAATCTGTGGCCACCAGCTGCCCTCATGAGGTTTCCAAAATACCCAAGAGAATATCCAAATTCCAAAAATACCCAAGAGAGCTTTTAGTTTCCAGAGCCCCAGGAAGGGAGGCATCAGTGGAAGGAGTTTATTCATTGAGTTTTTGCTCACCTGGTCCCTCCCTCCAGCCCCAGTGACCCAGGGTTGACCATGCCCCCACATAACCAGCAGGAGAAATAGGTTCAGAATGAATCAAATCACAAAACGTAAGGACTTAAAACACTATAAGTGAGAGTAAGCAGAAATAATAAAGTCAGGCCTCCAAAGACCTCAGATGTTGGAATCATTGGATACAGAGTATAAAATAAGTGTATTTAAAATGTTCATGGGGCGCCTGGGTGGTGCAGTCTGTTACGCGTCCGACTTCAACCAGGTCATGATCTCACGGTCCGTGAGTTCGAGCCCCGCATCGGGCTCTGGGCTGATGGCTCAGAGCCTGGAGCCTGTTTCCGATTCTGTGTCTCCCTCTCTCTCTGCCCCTCGCCCGTTCATGCTCTGTCTCTCTCTGTCCCAAAAATAAATAAACGTTGAAAAAAAAATTAAAAAAAAAAATAATAAATAAATAAATAAATAAAATAAAATGTTCAAAGAGTAATCAAAACTAAGAAGGGACGAGAGGTAATCCAAAGGACAAGGTAGACTTGAAAGAACCAAATAGAATTTCTGGAAGCGAAAAACACAACAATTAAACAGAGACAGGCATCACTGAAGATAATAAGAAAAAACCTGGAAGATCTGTCTCAAGAAGGTTCCCATCATGTAGCACAAGAAGGTAGAGGTAGAAAACACAAAGGAAGCTGGAGACATGACTGAGAAGCTCTAATATATGTTTGACATCCTTAGGGTGTAATGTTTTTGTTGTTGCTGTTGTTTTAAACAAGGCTGTACATAAACCATTTTTTAGCTGTTGTTGTTTTTTTCTTTTTAGTAGGCTCCGCACCCAACATGGGGCTTGAACTCAAGGCCCTGAGATCAAGGGTCACATGCTGACTGAGCCAGCCAGGCACCCCTCCATAAACCATTTTTTAAATGACAATTACAACTCCATTAAGAGTTTTGTTCATCAAACGATACAATAAAGTATGTAAAATAATAAGCCACAAGTGAGCAGAAGGTGTTTTCAACATAACCCAACAAAAGATTAGTATTTGATAAATTTGGGGAACTCACAGAAATCAATTATGGAAACAATGGACACTCTAATGGAAAATGGGCAAAAAAACCATGAACTGGTATCTGAAGAATGGACAGTAAAACATAGTAAAAAATTTTCAACCTCACTGGTGATTAGGAAAACGTAAGTTAAAACCACAATAAGATACTCTTTTACATGATTAAATTTGGTATTATTAGGGTTTTCCATTTTTTAAGATGTGGAGCAATGAACTCTCTTACACTCTCACCAGCAGCTGTTTAAAACAGTTTACCTTTATCCCATAGAATTGAAGCACCACCTATGACCTGACAAGCCCTCTCCTAGACGTACAGTCAGCACACAGACACCCAGCCATGTGCTTCTACATAAATACATGTAAATAAATACACAGGTGACTATCCATTGAATGGAATATGCTTCGGCTGTGAAAATGCATGAAGTACAGCTACAGGGATCTATATGAATAAATCTCATCAACTCTGTTGAGTGAAAACATCACAGGATAACCCATTAAGCAAGTAATCTTCAAACTTTTTGACCTCAGGACCCCTTTACACTCCTAAAAATTAATGAGGACCCCAAATAGCTTTTGTTTATGTGGATTTCAGTGGAGTCTATAGATATCCATCAATCAGAGGTTCTCAGCTGGGAGCGATCTTACCCCTTGTCTGAAGACATTTTTGGTTGCTACAACTGGGATGAAAGAGGTACTGGTGGCATCTAGTGGGTGGAGATCAGGATACTATGAACTATTCTACAAGGCACAGGACGGCCCCTGTGACAAAGAGTTATCTGGCCCCAAATGCCAAAGTGCCAAAGTTAAGAAACTATAAGCTATAGGGGTGCCTGGGTGGCTCAGTTGGTTAAGTCTGACTTTGGCTCAGGTCATGATCTCATGGCTCATGAGTTTGAGCCCCACATCGGGCTCTGTGCTGACAACTCAGAGCCTGGAGCCTGCTTCAGATTCTGTGTGTCCCTCTTTCTCTGTCCCTCCCCCACTCACACTGTTTCCCTCTCTCTCTCTCTCTCTCCCTCTCTCTCTCTCTTAAAACTAAATAAACATTTAAAAAAAATTTTTAAGAAACTATAAGCTATATAGATATTACTTATATTTGAGATTAAAGCTGAGAAAATTGTAAATACGTATTTTAAATTAAAATTAATTTTAATTTTAAAATTAAATTTAATTAAATGTAATGTTGAAAATTAAATTACTAAAAATAATAACCCAGTACTGATTAACTTAGATTATATATTTTTATTAAAAAATAACTATTTTCCAAAACAAAAATATTTAATAAGTGACATCTTTTTACATTTTTGCAAATCTTTTTAATGCCTAACCAAATAGTAGAAGATGGCTACATTTTCATATCTGCTTCTATATTCAATCTGTTGTAATACATTGTTTGGGGAAGAAAGTGGGACCTCCCACAGATATGGAGTTAGAAAAGGGAGAGCATTTTAATGGTCTTTTCAGATCATTGAGGATATTCTTCTTTGATATGACACCAAAATCCATTAAGTGGTCTTTTCCTAAAGGCTGCTGCAGCGTGGAATCTGAGGGCATACCAGTGAAGTTTCCGGTTTCATTGGAACCATTGGTTTATCTTGTGCTTTGGCTGGATCGTTTTCCCAGGGATGATTTTATAACCTCATGCATCGGTTCTTTAGAAAATGTTGATTTCAGGGGCACCTGGGTGGCTCAGTCGGTTAAGCGTCCGACTGCAGCTCAGGTCACGATCTCACGGTCCATGAGTTCGAGCCCCGTGTGGGGCTCTGGGCTGATGGCTCAGATCCTGGAGCCTGTTTCCCATTCTGTGTTTCCCTCTCTCTCTGCCCCTTCCCCATTCATGCTCTGTCTCTCTCTGTCTCAAAAGTAAATAAACGTTAAAAAAATTAAAAAAAAAAAAAAAGAAAATGTTGATTTCATTGAGTGACGCAGGTTTCTCAGCTGGGTAGTAGAAAATTCCTCCACTCATGAGAGAAAGAGAACAAAAAAGGCAAATTTCACCTTGGTGTTTATTATGAAAATAGTTTTGATCTCTCAGCCCCCTGAAAGCGTCTCTGGACCTCAGGTGTCTCCAACGTACATTTTGGGAATCTCCACATTTAACCGATTATAGATAATCCGAAAATGTACAAAATTAGCAATATGATGTTTGAGACTCGTGTGTGTGCTAAAAATAAAAGGGAGTGATTCACAGCTTAGATGGTCTCCTCTTGAGGGGAGGTGGAAGAATATAACTGGGGAGAGGCTTATGGGTGATAACAGGTTGCCAACATTTTATCTGGAGTGGTGAGTATACCCATCATCTACCCATGATACATACAGATCAGTATGTGTACTAATATCCTTATCAAATATTTCATCATTTGTCCAACTGGAAAAAAGACTACAGACCAATTATAAAAAACATAAAATTTAAAACATAGTATCTCTGAAGCAGGTGAGGAGATCATGCCAGTAGATTAGAAGAGCATGCGGTGAATTAGACAAATCAATTATTTATTTATTTATTTATTTATTTACTTTAATTTTAGCTTTTTTTTTTTTTGAGAGAGAGCACGCAAGAGTGGGGGAAGGGCAGAAGGAAAAAGATTGAATCTTAAGTAAGATCTGTGTTCAGTGAGGAGCCTGATGCAGGGCTCAATCTCATGACCGTGAGATCGTGACCTGAGCTGAAATCGAGAGTCAAGTTGCTCAACCAACCGAGCCACCCAGGCTCCATCAGACAAATCTTTTAAAAGGCAATCTTGAGCTGGACTACTTTTTGTTTGAGAAATATGTTTTGGGCAGTATAATAGCCCCCAAAAAGGTCCACATCCTGATCCCTGGAGTCCAGGGAGGTGTTACTTAGCAAATGGACCTAGCAGGTATGATTAAGTTAAGGATCTTGAGCCAGGGAGACGGTCCCAGATAACCCAGGGACCAGTATCATCCTGGGGTCTTCACAGAGGGAGAGGAGGGTCAGAGTGAAGGCCAGAAGCAGAGAAAGAGGAGGGGAGAGGTGAGAAGCTGAGGAATGAGGGCTCCTCCAGAAGCTGGAGAAGGTGAGGGGGCCATGTGTTCCCGGCAGCCTCCAGAAGGAACCATACTTGGCGGCTCGTTGTGAACTGCCAACCTCCAGAATGTAAGGGTCTAAGTCTCTGTTATTTCAAACCACTAAGTTTGAGGCCAATTTTGTTTGACTCGGATGAGAACATCCAGCCAAGAACTAGTCACCAGAGGACCCCCTGCATCTTCAGTCTGAGTGCCTCTGAGGCCTGTGAGGAAGCAGCACCCTGGAGCCCTTTCAGGGTGAGGCAGGGGGGCAATCATTTCTTCTTCTTGAGCCAGCGAGTTAGAGAAATCCAGGTCACCAGCAGATTAGCTTTGTGAGGGCTGGGTTTTGATTTAAGACCAGACTTAAGGAAGACATTTAGGGGGAATAAGATAAAAGCTTCCATATGTCAGAAAGGAGTACAAGGCGGTGAGAAAGAACAGTGGGAGGATTACAGGTAAAATTCCCCCTTTTTATTCTGTAATCTTAATTTTTACTTTTATTATTTTATTTTTTATCAGAGAGAGAGCCAGTGCATGAGCAAAGGAGGGGCAAAGGGAGAGAGAGAATCTTAAGCAGGTTCCACACTCAATGCAGAGCCTGATGCAGGGGCTCGATCCCACGGCCCTGGGATCATGACCTGAGCTGAAATCAAGAGTTGGATGCCCAACCGACTGAGCCACCCAGGCGCCCCTGTAATCTTAATATCTAAAAATGATGTTTCCTAACTGCTGGAAAGCACCCCCTAAAGGGGCAGCAGAAACTCTTGTGTGTTAAACAATGGGTTTTACCGTCAATATCTCCTGTCTGTGCGGGAGGAGAGAAGGGTGGCTCCACCAAGAAGCATTTGGACACTTTTAGGGGAATTTATGTTTTAACTTCACATATAGTTGATTATTGGCATTGATGAATTTAACATTTATAGCCTCAACTGCCCCCAACCCCAAAGGTTCCGGAGACGTAGTAACTGTACTGATTGTGTAAATTTGAATACTACAAGATCTGTGTGTGAAGCAAGCCTGTAGGGAGAGTCGCCCCTGGGCTGGCATTTGTACCTTGGCATGGCTTCTTTCTCTTCTTGCTCTCTGCAAAGCTTTCTATGGGGAGGACGCTACCGTGCTCTTTATAAACCTGGGGATTGACAGAGGTCTCTGGCTTTCTCCCCTGACCTAAAGGCTCTACTGATGTTTCAGGAGGACCTAGAGGGGCGATTGTAACCCATGTCCCCAGGAGGTCTGTTTCCATCCAGGGTGGTGACTAGAAAACACAGGAAGCCCTGCGAAGTTCTCACCCTGCCCCTTTCTTCAGCCACTTGATTCTGAAACTTTCTTCCCGGCAGCCTCTTGTAAAGTGGAAATAGTGCTCCCTGCTCCTCTTTAAGCCAACGGTGCTACAGTCCTGAGACTGTCCGTGTCCACCAAACACAACCATCTACTGAACCCCTACAGTCCAGCCCCGGAGCCACACCGCACTCATCCCACGTCACTGAACTGAAAGTAGCTTAGGGAAGGATACTTTCTAATGGGTTTGGACGTGATAGCAGTATGAGCGCATTGATGGGCTGAAACCATGCCTTAGGTAATTAGCAGCTCAGTCACTAGCAGATTTTAAACCAACAGAGTCAAAACTAGCAAAAACCCAGAATTACACAATTTGCACATCATAGCCGGAGATGCTCCATAAGTCTCTTCCTCCCTCCATGGTTCTAGGGTGGTAACCACGTCCCAGCCCGCCAGCAGCCAAAGAAATCGGGAATAGCAAGAGTCACCTTCGACTTGTACAAGCTGAATCCCAAGGATGTCATTGGCTGCCTCAACGTGAAGGCCACCATGTATGAGATGTATTCGGTGTCCTACGACATCCGGTGCACGGGAGTCAAAGCCCTGCTGAGGTAACAGACATGGGGCTCAACTGGGTTCTGGAAACCGCGCCTGGGCCATCCCCAGCCTGCTGCTTTGCACTGCCAAGCGCAGCCCCCCGGGGGCCCTGACCTGCCTGGTAGCTGCTGGCGTTCACGAATTCACGATGTCATACGGTACTTTTCCTCTTACACCCAGACTTACGTCAGAAAACAGAGAGTCTTGAGCCAAGGTGTATATACATTTTTTTCTTCAGGGACCATTAAATACTAAATGGAATCAAAACTAAATAACAAATATGAAAAGGAACCAAATTTCTTTTAAAAACTAGGGCTGTGCGCTTTAAAACCTTTATTCTAAGCAACGGCAGCTAAAACGGAGCCATGGCGATTCTGACCCGGTTTGCACAGAGTAGCCACGAACCCCGGAGGAATGCTCTTTGGTATCTTCTGTATTACTGCTAACTTGAACCTAGCAGCAAGGTGGCATGGGCCTGTGCCTTTTCCACATACCCACATGCCCTGGCAAGGGCACTGTCGCCCCACAGGCTGAGGCCAGTCTGGCAGATGCGGGAGCCTGTACAAGACAGATCCCCAATCCATACCCGCACCTTTCTGAACAAATTCTGTATGTTCACCAGGAATACTCTGTGGTTGTAACCAGGCTGGACACCTGCCCTGAGGCCTGGACTGAGAGGGACATCCATGGTCCCACCCAGCTTTGCCTCTGAGCAGCCAGCTGTGTGACCTTCAACGGGTTGCTTAATGTCTCTGAGACTTGGTTTCATCATCTTTTAAAAGAGAAGGTTGCTCCTAAGTGCTTTGATTGCATAGGCTCTAAACACACCTACTCCTGTCCTCTAGTAAATTCGTATTGATCCTCTAAATAACCATTTCCTGTGGAGGGGTGGATGGAGGGGGGAGAGACAGAAGGTCTAAAAAGGTTGCAGCGGCTGACAGCAGCTTTGGAAGGAAATGCTTTGGAAATGAGACTGGCCTCCTCTGATGGGGCCCCAGGCCCTGGCACAGAGGGATCTCAGGCAGTGGCTTCTCAATGGCTTCCATTTCCCTCTCAGAACCATTAATGGCCAACTCATAGACAATTGTCACTGTGCCCGTGTTGAAATCTCAATACCTGACCCCCCGGGGGAGCTTCCTCTTTTAGCTGAGATGGGAGAAAATAGCTTGATTGATTGGTTTTCTAAAATGAGACAGGAGAGTTCTAACAACTTGGAAAAGTATGATGAAGAAAGTAAACCTCACCTAAAATCCCACCTCAACAAAATCTTTAAGAGGCAAATTCAGTCTTCTTGTCACTATTTCTTACCATCTGACATCTGGTGGCACCACAAGCAGCCACAGAAGTCACCAAAGTCCCCACATCAAAGGCCTCACACCAGGGTCCTGTTGTGGGATCCCAGGGCCAGGGGGCTCTCCCGACCAGCACAGCTGACCCCCAGGCCTTGTGACATGACCGGTCTTTAAAACTGGAACGGAATCCTTTAACTCTGGACTCGGTAGAGAGTAAGAATTCGAGTCAAAGCCACTTTTTTAATCTGAAATAACAGGAATGCCAGCCTCAGCCCTGAGGCGTAGAGGCCACAACAGGGCCGAGATGGGATGTCCCGGCCACCCTAAGCAAACTGGGTCACAGGACCAGTCTCCTTCAGCTTCTCCTTTCACACCTGACTTGCCTGATTTTAGTAACAAGCCCCAACACCCACGGTGGCCAGAGGACAGGACTCACTGTGTGCTCTCAAGAGCACCGTCAGCCTACTCAGGGCTTCCTAGCTCCTGAACAACAGGCCACGTTTGGAAGCGGCTACAAGGAAGGTGGTCTTCGGCCTCGTGCATCAGCATGTGCACTGTAGCAGGCCCTGGTGGGCTGGGGGGTGGCTCCTTCAGTGAGCGGTGCCTGCTCTGAGCGGATGTTTGGGGGGAGGTGAAGGATGCCCGCACTGTCTGCCCCTCGCTGGCCCAGAGCTCCAAGCCTGACCTGTGCCCCGTCCCCTTTGTTGCAGGAGCCTGCTGCGGGTCCTGTCCCACGCCGCCCAGGTGACCGGACAGTTGCTCATCTACATCGGCACGTACATGCTCCAAGTGCTGGGTGACATGGACGAGCAGAGCCCTCCCCGGTCACACTCCAGACGCGGGTTCACAAGTGGCTAAGGATGCACGCTGCAGGGGACCCAGCCGGCTCTCGACCCAAGTATTCGCTCTCAGATGATGAATTTTGAAGATGCTTCTGTTCTAAACCACGGGCACTTGCACAAGGCCGGTCACTTGTACTGGGGGGTGGCACGCAGGGGAAGGTGGAGGGGTGGAGGCACACGAAATGGGGGCTGCAGGAGGGGACGCCCTGAGGGGAGGAGATTCGTAGGGGCCTCCGTGGGGACAGGAAGGACCAAAGGGCAGGCTAGTGTGGTGGCCCCGGAGCCGCACAAACCTGTGTTAGGCCTCAGCTCCTCACCTCCTGCAATAAACCGATCGATTGCAAGAGCTACTTTTAATACGGGTAATTCTTCCTTGTGTCTCTTCCACGTTCCCAACAAACGGCACTCCTGCATATAAGCAGAAGTCAGCCAGGATGCCCTGTCATGTTTAAGTCCCTGTTAGTACTCGATGCCAGTAAGCTAAGGAGATGTTACTCTGGGGGTGGGGGGGGGGGGCGGGGGTGTTCTGTGGGTCTTGAATGAGCCCAGAGGGACCCAGAAGCTTCAGAACCTAAAGTTCTGGAGGGCTTCAGCCAGTGCTTATAGCCTTTTAAAGAAACAAAAACCAAAAAACAAAACGGCCCCCACAAGACTGCTTAAAAACCGCACTAGCGGACCACGTCTTCAGTTCCTAATGTCACCCAGGTTGTCAGTTGGGACCCACGGTTGTGAGTGGCAGGATGCTGACCCAGGCCACTGGGTGGCTTTAGCTGCAGGTGCTGGGGAGTGCAGGCCCCCAAGTAAGGTAGCCAGAGATCCGTCTTTCCATCTGTCTTTTTTTTTTTTTTTTTTTTAATTTTTGAGAGAGAAAGACACAGAGCATTGAGTGGGGGAGGGGCAGAGAGAGAGAGAGAGAGAGAGAGAGAGAGAGAATCCAAAGCAGGCTTCAGGCTCTGAGCTGTCAGCACAGAGCCCAATGTGGGGCTGGAACCCATGAACTATGAGATCATGACCTGAGGCCGGTCGGGACACTTAACCGACTGAGCAACCTCAGGCTCCCCTGTCTTTCCATCTCTTGGTCCTGCTTTCCTCTGGGTTGGTATCATCTCCAGGCCGGCCCTCCTCATATGAAAGTGAGATGCCAGCCCCACAGCAGGAAGTCCTGGGGTTGCATCCTGGGGAGAGGGTGTGCCACACAGGGCCATGGACCTGGTCCTGCAGACAGGGAAGGATCAGTCCCAGCCACACAGATGGGGTGAGGACAGTGTGCCCCCCCCCAAGGAAATGGGGGAGCTTCCACTAGAATAAGGGACAGCACGATTTGTCTCCTAAGACTCCAGGAGACAAATGTGCTCCTACTCAGATTTGTGAATTTCCTTTTAGGAAATGTTAGCACGGAGGCCTCTCTCCTCTCCTGGCTGACCATTCAGGCACAGTGAAAAGTCACTGCAGCGGAGAGGGCCCCACACCATCCGTGGGCCTCCTACCCACTGCCCAGGCCCTCTGGGGGGGCGGGGGGGGGCTCGGCCTTCCCTCCCTTCACACGCAAGCCACAGCCCCTGCTGCAGTCCCAGAGGTCAGCTGCAGTCCCAGAGGTCAGCTTTGCTCCGTCCTGGACGCTCACCGGTCCAAGCTGCCTGCTGAGAGAGGCTTTCCCTGGCCCCATGAGGCAAGAGTAAAAGAGCCACACAGCATTCCTCAAAACACAGCCTCTGCCTCTAGCATTGTGACAATATAGCCATTTTAGCCCCCCTTCCCCCTGCCGTTTCTGTCGCCTTCTAGAATAGGACGCTGCTGCTGTAGAGAGAGTTCCACAGAGAAGGCTGAGAGGCAGTGCCTGTGCAGTCCCTAGAAGCCTCCTCAGTAGAGCGTTTCCTATATAAGGAGGTCTCTGCCGAAAGCCCTGCCCTCCGCGGGTTGGGGCTGGGGCTGTGCAGATGCTCCAGGAGGAAGGAGAGGGCCCCACAAACTGCTCACATCTCGCTGGCTCGTCCAGCCCAGTCTTTCCAGCACCTTCCGAGGAGGAGCGAGGAGGAGCGGAGCCCGGGGCCTCTCCCTGACTGAGGGCTTGCGTCACTTCCCAAGGATTCTGCAGTCCTGGAAAGCCACCGCCTGGCTTCCAAAAAAGGAATTTTCACTGAAGTGCCTGACCCTGTTGACTCAGCTGGCGCCCTCACTCGGGGGCGGCGTGCCCTTGTCCTCACCGGCTCCACAGGAAACCCTGGCCTGTTTTGCAGGGAGGGGAATTAAGCAAAAGGACGACGAGGAAGTGCCATCCCACCATCAAAATGAGGATTCACTCAGAAGGACTACGTAGGGTTTGGGTGTTCCCTTCCTCTTACCCTGTGTGGTGCTTTCCGGGGATGGCCCGGGATGGGCTCTTGGGGAAGGCTCCCGGGGCCTCTAGGCTCCAATGCACAAGGCCTGTGAAGAGAGGCAAAAGCTGAGTTTGCAAACATCAAAGGCTTCTGGGGCCCTTCGTGAGGCTTTTGATGGGAGAGAACCAGCAGAATAAAAACCTGCTTCCTGTCTGGGCAGGGTCCCAACAGGTGCAGCTCCCTCTGGTCTCTGGTTTGAATTAAGCAACATGCACTCCAAACTGACACTTTCTTGTTCTAATCTTAGTGTTTGCACAGCCCACATTTCGTCCGCTAGCTGGGAGAAAGGTGTGGTCCCCATGGTCAGCAGGAACGGCTGTGCTGCTGGTCAGAGACACTGCTGCTGGGTTTGGGATGTCACCAAAAGCTAAGTCAAGAGCTGAATCTGCTCCAGTGGCCTGTGTCCCTTTCAAGGGCTCAAGGTCTTTCCATGTACACTCAATTTACTGACTTCTAGAAGCACAGTTCAGAAAACAGGAAATCATCCCTATGAGCTCAGAGTTCATGACCTCCCATGTCTGTGTGTACCCCAATGTGTATTCGTGTGCCCCCCGTCTCAGTCACACACAGCTCCACGTCCCCACACATCCTGGCATCTCCACTGGGTAACCAGATGAGCAGGGGACAGAGGACAGGCTTGGCATGGACTGAGAGCATTAGCATGAAATATTCCCAAAGCCATTACCTCACTGCCAGAGATGGACCCCAGTTAGAATCATCCTGCTGTGAACAGACTTCCCTGTCATAAGACTCTTTATCTGTAAAATTAGGATTAAAACGAGGTGGGCCAGGGGCACTTGGGTGGCTCCATCAGTCGAGTGTCCGACTTCAGCTCAGGTCATGATCTCACAGCTCGTGAGTTTGAGCCTCGCATCGGGCTCTGTGCTGACAGCTCAGAGCCTGGAGCCTGCTTTGGATTCTGTGTCTCTCTCTCTGCCCCTTCCCTGCTCATGGTCTGTCTCTCTCCTTCAAAATAAATAAACATTAAAAAAAATACAAAAAATGTTTTAAAAATTTTTAAATGAGGTGGGCCAGGAAGTCCATACTCCCAGACAGGTCTTTCTTGGCACAGGTTTAAAAAAATGTTAACAGGGGCGCCTGGGTGGTTCAGTCAGTTGGGGGTCCGGCTTTGGCTCAGGTCATGATCTCACGGTTCGTGGGTTCGGGCCCCGCATCAGGCTCTGTGCTGGTGGTGTGGAGTCTGCTTGGGATTCTCTCTCTGCCCCCCGCCCCTGATTGTTCATCACTTGTGTTCTCTCTCTCTCTCTCAAATAAATAAATAAACCTAAAAAAATAATTAAAAAAAAATGTTAACAGAGCGCCTCTCATCAGCCTGGAACTTTCTGATTCACCATGTTTCTACTCTTCTGCCCAGTCCTGGAGAAGGTGTCTGTCGCCTGCTGGCCCCTGGACCCCAAGTCAGCGACCCTGCTATAGGCTTTGTCAGACAAGGATCTTAAAACCGGAATCCAATTCCTCCAAGGAAAGTTCTCTTCCTCCTCACAGCATGACAACTATATGCATTTCTTCCTACACAGCAAAGGTGTGCACGACTACTCTCCAGAGCTGCCCCCCTCACAGAGAGAGCCACAGCCTGGCCCTACGCCTTGCCCACCTGGGGACACGGGGTTGCTCTCCTTCAGAGCCCAGACCTAGGAGAATGTGGCCTTTCTCCAGGAAGCCATGCCTGGAGTGCTCGTGGCCCACAGACAGTGACCTACCCCCAAGTCTGAGGGGTGCTGTTCTCACTCAGCAGAGTCTCCTGTCTCAGGCTCCCAACTACTCTGTGATAAATAAATCGTACGTGAAGAAAACTAGTGGGAACATCCCTCTCCTTCCTCTGTGAGGACTCCAGTTCCCTGTTACAACTATCTCAGTACCTACAAGGGAGCTGGAACCACCCTCACATGAACAATTACAAACACCTGGCTTGTCCTGGGGGTCCTCCCCGAGAAAAGCACAGCTCCAAGGGGGCTCCTTCCCCGATCTCAGAGAGGGGTCAAGGTCGAAATGTGCCACTGATAGCCACCCAGCGGCACAACGGGCCCCAAACTCTTTGAGCAGGTTTAAATCCCAGGCCACAGATGAGTGGACAAGGAGGGGACCTTTCTCCCCTCAACTTTGTGGGGTGGCAAACTGGGGAGATAAACCATACACACCATTCAAATGCATGTGGATTTTTATTTATTTATTTTTAATGTTTATTTATTTTTGAGAGAGAGAAGGAGGGCCCGAGAGGGAGACAGGGAGAGATTCCAAGCAGGCTCCCCACTGTTAGCACAGAGCCTGACTCGGGACTCGAACCCATGAACCATGACATCATGACCTGAGCCAAAATCAAAAGTCGGACGCTTAACTGACTGAGCCACCCAGGTGCTCCAGAAGGGTGGATTTTTATATCTGATTGTCAATTCACTGCTTCTTACATCAAGCCTCTGTTCCACTGAGTGGTCCCCCCAGCCCCAACCTCACACCCAAGGAGCGCAAGATGCTCTCGGGGGTAATATGTCAAGGCACCATACTGGGTTGTGTCCCACCCAGGCTTCCCCACAAGGTGCCCACTGGCTGCAGTCTTTGGAGCTCAGGCTGTGAAGGTCATACTGAATCTCCCCGGCCCCTCCTGCTCAGAAACAGGTCCTCCCTGGCCCGGCCAGACATGAGGGCCCCCCACCCATACAACTGTGGTGTTGAGGCTCCTGGTCTGTGCCAGGCAAGGACAGCTGCAAGGTGTGCTGGCTTCTCGGCTCCACCAGGAGGGGGAGTACAGGTCCATGCACGTCTCAGCTCCCCAGGTCTTCTGACTCCAGGATCTAGGATCCAGGATTCAGGATCTGACCCTTCCTAAAAGCACTCCCATCTTTTCTAAGTGAACCCAGCCTCTTCTTCTAGTACTTCCTTAGCAGAGCAAAGACCAGACTACGGACTGGGCACTCCCTCCCAGGGGAGGCTGGAGGGGGGGTGGTTGTACACAGAAAAACTGTCCTTGAAATCACTACCTTGGTCACAAATGCTGTGCCCCACACTCTCCTTGTCTACCTGGACATGATCCACAGGAAATCAACGAGGGGACAACTGACGTGGGATGGCATTCAAGCCTGCCAACAGCAGCCTCACTGATATAGAGTTAGTCTTCAAACAAACAACATGAAACCTAAAGGGATGTTGCTTCCACTTGTTCCTGTACCTAAGTCACCTAAGGGTGATTTACCACTCCAAATGGCACTTCGCTTTAGAAGAGATTGCCTCTCTCCCCAAGGGATGAATCGTGCCCAGATGAGAGCACTTGGCTTAGGAGGACAGCTCCTGAGGGCCAACCAGTGGCCTCAACATGAGTCACAGATGACACGATGTCATGCGTGTGTGCAGAGACCCTCCCACCGCACCCAGGATGCTCGTGCTCTGTCCTCACCCTTGGTATGAACACTCTGAGGGCTCACATCCCTCACAAAGGCAGCTTATTCTAGTTGTGGAGGGTTTTGTTAGTTTTTTGTTTTCGTTTTTAGCCAAATATCTGGGTCCCTAAAACTTCCGCCCACAGGTTCTACTTCTGCCCTCTGGAGTTATAAAGAATAAATCTTCCCTGCTTCCCCAGGCGGTGTCTTTAATCTCCGTGGACCCAGCCTGCACCCGCGTCCTGGGCCGGCTCTCCGGCCCCCCAGCACGGACCCCCCAGCCAGAAGGGAGCGCTCCTGGTGGCCCAGCCTCCTTCCATCAACTCAGACTTCTCTGCCAGGGTGGCTGGGGGCAGCTGGTAACAGTACAAGCTTTTGAAAGGCACAGGACGAAGGCAGATGGGGTTGGTGACTTGGGGGTCCCGGCTCAGAGTGCACTGCTCCAGAGGGGTCTGGGGCAAGTGCCAGAGCAGAGCAGCGAGGGTGAGGAGAGGGCATGCAGGGGAGAGGGCGTCTGCCAGCAGCCGGAGGAGCTTCTAGGGGCGGAGGGGGGAGGGGGAGGTGTCTCAGCCGCCAGTGCAGGAAGGACCTCTCTGGAATCCCTCCCCGGGCGACTTCTAAACCTCTGGGACAGCGAGAAGATCCCCTGCCAGGCTCCCCCCCCCCCCCCCCCCCCGCCGGTCCTGGGACCCTGGAAACCTCAGCGCGGTCTTTGGAGTGTGTGTGCTTATGCAGGTGTGAATGCATGCTGTGTGCATGTTTGCGCGTGTGTGTGCTCACGAGTGCTGTGTGGGCATGTGCATACTGTGTACATGAGCGCATGCTGTTAACACGTATGTGTGTGCCTGCCGTGTGTGTCTGTGCCCCTGTGTTGTTAGTGGAGAGACTTGAAACTGCTGAAGAGTTCATGTGGGAGGTAGGAGGGGAGGGAAAGCCCAAAGGTCTATTCTTTCCGTTATAACCTTATTTAAATATGAACAAACACAAAATCAGATAGGAACCCTCTATTCTGACTGCTTCTGTACAAATATTTTTTTCAAACTTACATAACAAACATAAACAAAACGGGGAAAACACTAAATTCAACTCAACAGCATTAATTTAATGTAGATGAAGTTAAACTGCATCTTGGAATGGACCTCTGACTTGCTGTATGAGGACTTTGTGTTGCTCAGATCACTGCAAAGCTTGCCTTCCTACAATACTGTCCCACCGTCTACCAGCACCTAAAACAGCATCTTCACATAGAAAGTGCCCAAGGGGCGCCTGGTGGCTCAGCTGGTTGAGCACTGGACTCTTGATTTTGGCTCAGATCATGATCTCAGCCCCCTCCCCCCACCTCCCTCCACCATCAGGCTCTGTGCTGGCAGCATGGAGCCTGCTTGGGATTCTCTCTCTCTCAAAATAAATAAATGACTTTAAAAAAGAAAAAGACAACAGAGGTGCCTGAGTGACTCTGTCAGTTAAGCCTCCAACTCTTCTTTTTTAAGCTGCCAGCGCAGAAGCCGATGCTTCTGTGGGGCTGGAACCGTGAGATCATGACCTGAGCCAAAGTCAGAGACTTAAACTGTCTGAGCCACCCAGGTGCCCCTGAGCCTCCAACTCTGGATCTTGGCTCAGGTCATGATCTCACGGTTTGTGATTTCAAGCCCCATATAGGGCTCTGTGCTGACAGCATGGAGCCTGCTTGGGATTCTCTCTCCCTCTCTCTCTGCCCCTCCCCTGCTCTAAATTAATAAATGAATAAATAACTTAAAAATAGACCTCAAAGTTCTAAGGGTCATCTGTCTTGTATGGTTAAAGTAACAAACATATTTAAAAATTAATTTTTTAATTAATTCTCAAAGTTCTAAGGGTCATTTGTCTTGTATGGTTAAAGTAACAAACATATTTAAAAATTAATTTTTAGGTGTGACAATGGTTACATTCCCAAAAAAACTCACTACCTTTTAGAGCTACAAACTGTAATATTTACAGACGAAGTAAATGATATCTGGGAAGTGCTTCAAGATACATGGGAGTTGGGGCGCCTGGTGGCTCAGTTGGTTAAGTGTCCAACTTCAGCTCAGGTCGTGATCTCACGGTTCGTGAGTTCAAGCCCCGCATTGGGCTCTGTGTTGACAGCTTGGAGCCTGGAGCCTGCTTCAGATTCTGTGTCTCCCTCTCTCCCTACCCCTCCCCTGCCCACACTCTGTCTCTGTCTCTCTCAAATATAAATAAACCTGAGCACTGGGTGCTGTATGGAAACCAATTTGACAATAAATTTCATATTAAAAAAATAAATATAAATAAATAAATAAATGTTAAAAAAATTTTTTAAAAAGTGATTGGAAATTACCGAAAATATTTGACAAATTATACTACAAATTATATCACATGATTGGCAGTGTTATAATATATAGTTTTGTTTAGCTATGAATAAAAAGAAACCATTTTGTATTTTGATGGATTGGTTAAAGTATTACTGTACTAGCTCTTGGCATTTTTTAATATTGTCCTGTGTTTGCCAGACATAGATGTTTTCCTCAAGACTCATACAATATATAGGTGCTAGTTCCAATTCTATTTTGCTAGCTCTGGTGACTTTGGGGCAGTTGATAGTGCTACAATTTACTTCGTCATCTGTAAAATGGGTATAATGCTATTTTGCCTTCCCCAGAGCACAGTTATAAGAATTGAATAAGATAATAAATGCTAAAACGGGGCAAAAATATAACCCAAACAGTAAAGTTGTATTAAATAATGGCAGGAATCAACGTAGTCCCTGATTGTTGGGAAAAATGACAAAAATAAGAACAAAAATATCTAAGGCAGGTCACAAGTGAGAAAAATAATTATAAAAACAAACACTCGGATTAACTCAATTGATCAGACCTGAGAAACAATTTCCTCCCTGCTGCTCTCAGAGAAGACTGCTCCCATGAGCTCCTGGGGAGATGGTTCTTTTCCTCTGTCCTGGTGCATAAGGTCTTGCTGGGCGCGGGAGCCCCAGGATGGCAGACTTGGCATGCTGGCCTGGCCCCAACCCCTCTCCCAGTCGTCAAGATGAGAACATGATCAAGTAGCCACTGCCCCTTTGGCAGGACTGACCCTGCCCTACAGCCTGGAGCCACCTGCGGATGACCTACAGCCCCGAGCACAGCTGCTCAGCCAGGGGCGGCCACAGGAACAAGAAAAGGAAATGCCCGTGGCTCAAGCCACTGTGTTTTGGGGCTTCGGCAGCAGTAAATGCAACCCCCAGATGCCAGAGTCCAGCGCTTGTCTTGGTTGTCTGGACCCTGCCTTTCGGTGGCGGGAGCATTCTTCCTGTTCTTCAGGTGAGACAAACATGCCCTTCTTTGAGGAACAGCTAGTACCCAACTCTACAGTGTTTTCATGGAGCGGCCAAAGGTAAAACTGTCCGTGTGTCACATGGCCCAGGTCAGTCCAAGAAGCATCTGTGGTCCCTGCCACCTAAAACATCCGAGAGACCAAACCAAATGGAAACAAGAGGAAGAGCGCAGGGCAGCAGCTGGGTCACGGCCCTCTCTCCTCCTGTGGCTGTGCCGTGATCATGTCCCCCCTTTTGTTCTGAGTAGTCATGTCAGGCAGGGCTCAAAGCAGGAAAAGCAGTCATTCTAGACAGCCCCAGCAGAAAAGGGTCTCCCACGGGGAATTAGATGCTCATGTCATCGGGATGGCTCGAGTCAGGGCTGCCTGGGCTTTGCTGCCATTGCACCTCAAGATGCCCACTGGGTCCAAGGTGGGTCTTCTGGGGTCCTGCGGGGTGGCGGGAAGAGCGAGAGGGAGAGTTCCACTTCCAAACCGGGCCCCCCAGCATCTCATGGCCATTGGCCATTTGCAGAGACAGGGAGGGCAAAAATTCAGTTCAATTTTCCAACCCCTTCTTCTAGAAGGAGGGTGGTTTGAAGGGCCCACATGAAGGTTTCTGCCCCTGTTGGTTCAGGCATGTTCCAAGTAACTTCTTTAAATTTTTTAATGTTTTTATCATTATGAAATATTTCCCTAGTTTGAAGATAGTCGTATTTGGTTTTCGTAATACGATTCAGCCCCTCATCATCATGATTACCCTGCAGATGAGGAAGCCTAGAATCTGGAATTTAGGGGCCTTTCTCACAGTCCCACCAGTGCCAGTTCAGGGCTCCAGGCACCTTGATCCACTTCTTCCTGGATCCCAGGAGCCAGTGGATGCCTGGCATGGGGCATGGCAGGTGGCAGGCACCATAGGTGCTTGGGAAGGCAACATCCTTTACATTGAGGAGAAAGAAAGACGTACCGGAAATTCAATACGCTATCTTCAAAATACCTGACCCATTTATTTTCCCACTTATCCCTGAAAAAAGCCAATTAAGCCTTTACTATAAATCTGACAAAACACACCCTTTTCTTTCTTTTCTTTTCTTGTCTTTTCTTTTAAATCAGGAAGAGGTGTATTGTCACCTGTTTGTTTAAGAAATACTTCCACATTGGGGCCTCTGGGTGGCTCGGTCGGTTGAGCAAGTTGAGCATCCGGCTCCTGATCTTGGCTCCGGTCATGATCTCACGGTTTGTGGGTTTCAGCCCCACATCAGGCTCCATGCTGACAGCATGAAGCCTGCTTGGGATTCTCTCTTTCCCTCTCTCTGCCCCTCCCCACTCACGTGTGTGTGCTCTCTATCAAAAAATAAATAAACTTACAAAAAAGAGAAATACTGGGGCGCCTGCATGGCTCAGTCTGTTGGGCGTCCGACTTCAGCTCAGATCATGATCTCGCAGTCCGGGAGTTCGAGCCCCGCTTCGGGCTCTGGGCTGACAGCTCAGAGCCTGAAGCCTGTTTTGGATTCTGTGTCTCCCTCTCTCTCTGACCCTCCCCTGCTCATGCTCTGTCTCTCTGTGTCTCAAAAATAAATGTTTAAAAAATAATAATAATAAAAAAAGAGAGAGAAATACTTCCACACGAAGCTAGGTCTAATTTGCATATGTTTCAAATTTTCTGTAATGGAAAGGGGTTTTTTATTGATTTTCAATGCTGCCTCTGTCCTAGGGCGCTATGAGTGAGGCAAGCCCTTCCTCTAACCACAGATCTGACCACAGCCCTGCCCCTCCACGTTTCTGGAGAGAAGCCCCACCTGTCCCAGGCTTAGCTTTCAGTCAGGGTGGGCCACAGGGACACCCTGGGGTCTTAGTGCAACTGAAGTCCAAGGCTCTCCCTCCGCAGAGCGTTCTTGCTATGCCCTCTCCTCTGATGGCCCCGAGGCCAGCCAGTAGCCAAATCACCTGTGCGTCACACTGTGCCGTCTGCCCAGCCCTGCCGCCTGGACCCTGGCAATGGCAGGGTGGAGCTGGCCTTACCTTGTTCTAGAAACAGAAAGGGAACCAAGGGCACCCACATCACCCCAGGCTGTGACATGAAAAAGGCATTTTTTTTCTATTGGTATCCTCGCACTACATTTCCAGCGTCCCTACAACAACAGTCAGGGGCAGGGCTGGGCATCCTCAGCTGTCTGGGCGTCACCCACCTGCTGTGGCATTCCTCAGGCCTGTTGCTGCCTGCCAGGCCTGGCCTAGAAGGCAGATGGCCACATAAAAATAGTCGGGGAGCCCTTGAGGTGCCACTTCTCCAGCTGCTCTGTTGAGTGGAAGCCAGAGGAGACAGGGGACAAGGCATGGCCTCCATCAGGACTTCGGAGCAGAGGCCGGCTGCTCAGTGCATCCATGTGGTGGGTCAGTGCAGGCTCTGGTCCAGAGAGGATGCACAGGAAGGGCAGGGCCAGAGAGAAAATCTCACCCCACAAGGAAAGCCTCGTGACCCCCTGCTATCCCTGGAATAAGCACTGGACAAAATAATCCTTCCTGTTTCATCAGTTTCCAATCAATTCTACTGCAGCTGAAACAGTTCTGTTGCATTATGCCAGTGTAAATACAGCCACTGATTCCGGGCCCCATTTCTTCTTTAAGAATAGGATCTGGGGGCACCCAGGTGGCTCAGGCCATGATCTCACAGTTCATGAGTTCATGAGTTCATGAGTTCGAGCCCTGCATCGGGCTCTGTGCTGACAGCTTTGAGCCTGGAGCCTGCTTCGGATTCTGTGTCTCCCTCTCTCTGCCTCTCCGTCCCTCTCTCTCCCTCTCAAAAATAAAATAAAACATTTTTTAAAAAAGCTAGAATCTAGGCGATGGGGAGTCACTAATCAGCAGGCATAAAGTGTCAGTTGAGCAAGATGAGTCAGTTCCAGACATCTGCTGTACAACCTTGTATCTACAGTCAATAAATGATACAGTGTATGCTTTGCGAAGAGGGTAGATCTCACTGAAGTGTTCTCCCTACAATATAGTAGAACTTAAAAGAAG